GGAAGCTACGTGGAGCAATCGATGATCCGCGAAGAAATACGGGATGGAGCATCGTGAAAAAAAAAGAAAAGAGTCTGTGGTTGACTCTGAGCAGGAAGCCTTGCGGCTGTTAAAGCAACGTACAGACATCCAACAACCAGCCCCAAGTCTCCAGATGCAACCGTAAAATGGTTGGCCTGTAAATGAATGTGCCCCACCAACTGCACGGCTGAATGTTTCGGCTGGCGATATCAATAGCTCGGGCCGGGCCTCGATTTGTATATCGGTCTACTAGGAAGCACTTGAACAAACGTCAGAAAAAGCCAGAGGAATCTTGGACAAGGGGCTCAGTCCTGCGACACCAAATGCTCAAGTGGCGTGTATGTACCAACAGTCGTCCGTGTATGTATCGAGAGCGCTTGTGTCTGGTGCGGGAGCAACGCACAGACGGTCAGTAGGCTCGTGCTTGAAGCTTGAGCTATTGTCCAACTAAGGCAAAGCTTGAGTCGGTGATGAAAGAAGGTGCGGTCGAATTATTCTGGGCTGGGCTGCCAGTCATGACTTGGTGCTAGTTCGACTTGCAAGGGGTTTGGCAGATGTCAACTGGTTTCTTTCTTTCTAACCGTAATCGTCTTCGCGTCATCTCTTCCAGAACAGAAGAGGTTTTTGGATGATGCCCTAAAAGGATCATCGCTGAAACATGCATTGGGCAAGTTTGGCCACTTATAATGCTCAGGCTTTTATTAATGAAAGGTATGAAATGAAAGATGAACTCCTCTTGTTGGATGGACGACTTCCATGTCGATATAAAGAGCCGCCGGCTAGTGCCTTCCCGTCCTGTAACAAGGAAGGTACAAATGCGGTCAGAAGAAATGGAAAGGACCAACATCGGAAACCTCTATGGTCAGAGGCCTGCCCAGGAAAGCAGAAAAGCTTCTGTTAGGAACACCGACAGTAGAATTCAGTGCTAACTCAATATGGCAGTTAATACGTGATGTCTGTAATTCATTGCTCATATTTCAATATGTACATATTCCAACAGTTGGAATCCATTCGTTATGAAATTAGGTACCTTATTACCTTAGGTAGTACGGAAGTACAGGGAGCCGAGCGCAGCCGCAAACATGATGAGCTTCCATTGGCATCATCTCCACTACACTTTAATTAGCACAAGCGCAGACCTCTTCTCAAACAATTCAGACTCAATCCTAGCATTCAGCTCCCCGCGGACGATCATACCCCATCGATCACTGCGCGCTGACGCTGAAGCTGACGCTGGCTGGTTGGTTATTAGCGCCTAGGCCTGGCTGAGCGTGCTGAGCTGGGCAGGCTGGGATACATGGGTGAGGCTGGCATCTTGCGGCAAATTTCTGGTACCATATGTCCAGTGTTCATCGACTTTTGTCGATTACTTAACGCCTACTTCGTCATTAATCAATATTGTGAATCCATCAAATTTGGGAGGTTCGATAGCGGACAAGTTGGAGCCGTCACACTTCAATAAGAAAATCGCCACTGATATTGATACCCAACCATAATTTGCCCAAGAGACACAGTCTTACAGTCTTCGCAGATAAGTGCAGAAAAGTCGAACCTCGTTCTATCCTCGGTGGTGCTTCGAGCATAGTTCGTTCAAATCTGAACACTCACGTTCCAGTCTACCTATTGTAAGCTTCGACTCAGGTATTGCCCAACCTCTGTAGCGAACTTGGGCCAAGCCTAATCAAGCCTTACGGGGGCTACCCTGGCATGATGACTGTCACGGAATGCCGCGATGTGATTGACTGAGCCAACTGTCTCGAACTAGGTGGTTCCTGCGAACCCTTGGGCTGCCAGTGGACATACCGGTTGAGGCGCCAATTCAACGGTCTCTGTGGTGTCTCAACTCGCATGTGTACATGGGCTACCACATTGAGCTATGTCGCTGCCATCTTGTTTGACTTTCGGGAGCCCGATATGCGAGAAGACGGGGTTTATGCCGCCACGACAGAATCCAAGACATCCATGCCTAAGATTCAAGTTCCAAGACCTGGGCCTCCCTTCACATGCGTGCTTACAAGATTAGAGACTTAGGCATACGACATACTCAAACTGGTGGCTTAAAACACAGAGGGCCTCATGTTCTTTAAGGGAACTTAATTTCTGTAGGCGGGTCAGTCTGGCGTATAGTTTTGAACCACTCTGACCGAGACGATGGATCTCTTGGCATCTGTAGTTCGTACCGATGGAATTTTATGCAAAGCTTCGTGGCATTTCTTTAATATTGAGTGCTAGACATCTGGTTTAGAAGGGCATGCATCTTACATACCATAATAAGAGAAAATTTGATTTGTTATACGGAGACATGGAAGATGAAATTTTAATAAGACATAAGGTATACATAATTATGATGTTCCTTTTCCGAGTTTGTTCTTTCCATTATGACCACGTGCTAGAGTATCTCAAGTTGACAGCCACCTTGGAAAGAAAGAAAGAAGGCGCTGACAGCAATGGTGGACTTTATGCCATTGCTTCCATTCAACCATTTTCTGCACCAAAATCTTCAGCTGTTCCATCTCATGAAAACAATGGAATAAAGCAACTTGATCTTTGTTATTCGAGCCCTCCAGAGTCCAAATTAAATAATCACTACCCTTGTTAACTCAAAGACGAACAAAGAAAACCGGACCCGGCAACTCCCCCATGCGAAGATCGCAGCAACGTGGACCAGAGGGGAGTCCATTATGAGTTGGTGTAGAGCCAGGGGGGCGTGCAGCCGACGCACCTAGCCTCAAAGCTGGAGACGAAGATTAGACGCCAGCACCCCTCTCAGCCAAGGCAAGGCAAGTCAATCATGACAAAACAGGACCAGTCAGACAAGGCCGCGGCTGTGCAAGGCGATGAGAGACAAGAGCGTTGCGGTGTACGTCGTTATACAGCAGTTCATCCGCGCAGCAAAAGATGGTGTTGAGCTATTACCCCGGTCTCGACGATGACAAGTGCCAGATCGGTTTGGCCATCGCGGATGGTTGTCTCGACAGTGATGCTGAGGCCATAGTGGCATGGAATCGCGTGGCATGGCAAACCATGTTATGGCTTCTGTCGTAACAGTGGGTTGGCCAGAAGACAGCTTGATCAAGACGAGGGACTCAGAATAACCTCACTTTGCAGGTTCGTATTGGACCAGCTCATTGAGCATGATGCGCTCTGCATTATATCAACCCAACCTGTAATTTCTTTTTCTGCTTCATCCTTTCTCGGTGTCATTTTTATGTTCCCAAGCTAGGCCCTCACCTGGATATCTTTAGGAAAAGATGGAGACATTGGAAGCACAGAACCAACACCCAGCGACTAACACCAACCACACACCCAGCAATCCGATGCTTCTCCAACGTTTATCCCCGGCCCGTTGATGTCCTCTGCCTTATTACCAAACGCATCGACTCCACTCACCTCACTTCTTCATCTTCGTTCATAGACACCTTCAAATAGGTACCCCTGTCATCGAGATATTGCTGTCGACACCCCTCCCCATGTTCCTCGATGCCTGCTCCTTGACCATCCTGTTCGTTCAAGCTCGTGCTTCTTGATGGGTTTCTTCGTCACGTAGGTACATTATAGGTCAGGCTTCCTGTTAAGGCACACCATGTTCACCGTTTCGTGGAGCAATCAGACCCTGATTTCCTCACTGCATCTTTCTCTCCCCACACCGTTACGTTGTTACTGCGTCGCCTCTTTTCGACCCGACAACTTCTTTTGGACCTTGAGTCTAATAATATTCTCCGGGCTCAACTTTCTTTTCTTTTTCGATTGTTCCAGAGTCCACTTCTTGGCCTTGTTCAGCTTGGGTTTTCATCCACCTCCGGCTCTTCTGTCTGGACCTCGGTCAAGACAGGCAACAACAAGAATAGGAAGAGGAAGAAGCAAGGCGGTCCATAACGTGGGTCCATATCCTGCGCATAAGTAACATCTCCTGGAGGTCATACTAAGTTAGTAGGGGCCCAGTGAAAGATCTGACCGAGTTTTCTCTTATTCAAAGTGAAAGACCCTCGAAGATCTTCTTTTTGCCTTCTACCCACTGCCATCTCATCGATTCACTACTCTCCCCACGGCTTTCGATAACAGCTTCTGAGATAACAAGCCTTACCTTGGCCTCATTTACCTCGATTGGCGCCCCACGACTTGCTCTGCCTCACCATATCATCCTATTTGCATCCATTGGCTGAAGAGAACCCTGGACATCACCAATCACATTGCCATCTGCCCATCAACGCCTTGGAGCCACGCTTGATGATCTGAACAACCATCACTGTTGCCTCCCGAGACAGTTCTTTCTCCTTTTGCATCTTTGTGGCAACCCGGTACCTGACAGAGCCCAACTGTGTCGATACCTAACCCAGCTGCCCACCACTACGCAGCAGTCAATACGAGAAGGCCTCCATTACTACACTCCAAGATTTATAGACACTAAGGGCGACATCAACACAAGTGACTTCATTCCCGGAGATTTCAAGGAGCAAACTAATTACCTCACCTCGATCTCACGAACACAGTTCACGCACCTCCAGCCGACTCAACTATCTGTACCGTGGAAAGAAACATAGGGGTTTCGTGATACCTGATATACAACGCGTTTAAGCAGCATCAGGCTTCTCGGAGCCGCTGCAACAGACATTTCTTCGCCAACACAACCAGAAAAAGTCGCCGAGCTGGCCCAACTCAAGAGCGAGTCTCCGCTCTGCCTCTTGCGGGCAGAGTTACCGCCATCCATCGTGGGTGTAGAAGACCGTCTCGAGCGGGGGCGCACGCCTCGCTCATATGCTAACGGCCCATACACGGGAAGACTGGATGGTCAGACTGTCGCATTAGACTTTGCCGCTTTTCTGAAGGCATCTGGATCCCATGAGGCTCCTGTCTCGCCACTTCACCAGACCCAGCCTGTTCCAGCTCCCACTTATCAGCCATTCACTCCTAAGGCATCGCCAGCTCCACCACGGCCTGTTGCGCATGTTGCGCCACCACCACCGGTAGCTTCGACACACATGTCTGGAAGACGCGGTATGCACCCCCATGCCACAGATCAGCCACCCGTGAAGAAGCAGAGCAAGTGGTCACCGGAGGAAGATGCCCTCATCATCGAGCTTCGAGGACGTAATATGAAGTGGGAAGATATCTCAAAGCGTCTGCCTGGCCGGAGTGCCATCAGCTGCCGGCTACACTACCAGAACTACCTCGAAAGACGGAGTGAATGGGACGAAGAGCGCAAGAACAAACTGGCCAGACTTTACGAGAGGTAAGGAGACAGTGCGACCGACAAGCCTTGTGGAAGATATACTAACAAAGCTACAGATTTAAACCAGAGATGTGGGCTAAAGTTGCAGAAGAGATGGCAGTGCCATGGCGAGCAGCAGAGGCCATGCACTGGCAACTTGGTGAGGCAGATATGGCTAGACGTGCAGGCGTTATCCCTTTCTCTCTAGCCGCAGTCAATGTCGAGGGAAACAACAGTCACAGAAGCTCACCCTCGCGCAGCCACATCCACTCGCAGCCCCAAGTCAGTATGCCTCGCGATCTTGGAGCCCCATCGCCTCGAGTTGTGTACAATAGACCTCCACCAATGCCTGCCAGCAGCCGAGCTATGGTTCCCCGCCGAGAGTCGATTCCTCCGCCGCCCCCTTTGCCCATGGTCCCAGATCCTGCCGAAGTTCAGTATGTACCAGGGCCAGGTTTGGCCCCGATCCAGAACCAGCCACCACCTCGGACTGCTGGCATGCTTCCTGGGGTTGCTGAACTTACTGGTGGAGTCAGCCCCTATAGCACACCTGCTGCAGTACCCAACATGGGCCCTATGACTGGGGCAGGTCAGGGTCCTCTGTATTCAACACTCGCCAGTTACTCGATTGAATCGGCCGGGTCCAAACGAAGAGCTTCTCCAGATGAATATCCACACGAAGCGAACCAGAGGCGCCGAATCACATAGTCTGCCATGACTGAGGCAACTGTACTATATGAGCACTTGATGAGTAATCCTGGAGTCTTCCCGGGCATTTATCTTGCACCTCATCTCACAAGGCGACAATGTGTGGGTAATTGAGTGCGGCAAAGAATGCATGACTTATTATGATGGTTAAGAATACGGGGTTACATGACTGCATGGACAGGAACAGAACAGCTTTTTTGCTTATCGGCAATTTATTGCCTTGGGATCTGATTGAAGCATACTCAGGAATCACAACAGCATATGGTTTAACGACGGAACGGAATGGATTGGACAGGATGGAATGTGGACATGACTTAATGCGAAGAAAATCTTGTTGGAAAAACCATTGGAGTATTTTTTATTCTCACTTCTGTTCTTCAATTGTCTTTTTTATCATGTTTTTGTTTTTGTATTACAATTTGCATTGGCCAGGGGCATCTGCATGGCAATGGATACTGGTTGTTTGAGGGCCTAGCAATGGAAGCATCAGAAAGGGTGAGGTCAAGGATGACCTCAGAAAACCGGAGTTGAAAGAGAGACAGTGTTGTTTTGTTGCACAGCGTTTGCCTTTTACCTGTTTAGTATTGTTTTACCATTGATAGACACATATGGAGATATTATAGAGAATATGTAGGGTGTAGATGGACTGTACAGTTAGCGTTGTTACCTTAGTTGAGCAATATATTGGATATAATACCAGCCCGAAGACGGCCAAGTACTCTTCGATGGTTGGACAAGAGCGAAACATGCAGCGTAAATATCGGTGAAAGATTCCTCTCGAGGTTGGTAACCATATGCATAAGGTATCCAGTGCTTTTTTGTAACGCCTATAAGATCTTGCCTTGTGCCGCAGGTTACCGTTGATGATGTCTCACGACGGTCGACTACATACCACCCACCAGTTATCCTTCTCGTAGCCGGTCTCTACAACGATGCCCCCAGCCGCCTTGACATCCTCCTCGAGCTCACCCTCCTTGTACAGATGGTAGTAGCGCTGGAACGTGCCTCCGGGTTCTTGGCCCTTTGGCTTCCGCATCACCCACGACACCAGGCGATCCTGGTCACTGCTCGCGTCCCACCCGCGACGGCTTGACGCCTGCTCCAGAGCCCACACGTAGACGAGCACACGACCGGCCTGGGGAGTTACGAGTGCAAGTAGCTCAGCAATGGCGGCCTGTCTTCTCTCGCGTGTCGACATATGGTGCACAACAGCGATGCAGATGACAAAGTCAGCGGCTCCCTTGCGATAAGGAAGCGCGAAGCCATCGGCGACAGCAACGTCTACATCAGATACTCTAGGATCATGCTCGACACCGTCTTCCCGCGGCCGTCTCAGCTCAGTCCGGGCGAGCTGGACGAGAGCTGGACTCCGGTCGGAGCCAAGCAGGTGGACAGTCGGGTTGACACGCAGATACTTGCCGTTGCCGCAGCCGACATCAAGACCGAGACTGCCGGGTGGTTGGGATAGCAAGAAGCTGGCAACCCGAGGCCAGGGCTTATGGCGAGTGGCCGAGAAGTGCGGTGCGATGGCTTCATAGACTGCGTGGACGTGGGTGGCCTCGTATGTCTCTGGTGCCTCTTCCGCTGCAGATTGTGAGAAGGACTCTGACTCTGACTCTGTGGGGGCTGATGCCTGGTTGGTTTGTGCCTGAGAGCTGGGTTGTTGGAGTGGTCTGTCCTCTTGATCTCCAGCCGGCGTGGCCGATGAAGCACTTGCCATGATGAAGGCGATGAAAGGTTCCGTGCAGGTTCTTTACGGGACGCTTTGTGGAGTATAATCTTCCTTGTCTCTCGGATGTATCTTTGAGATGACCTATAGAGGGAGGGAGGGGGGTGTGAAGTTGTTGCGTCTGAGCGTTGAGAGATGAGGTTATGATTGAGTTGGTTGGTTGTGTCTGTTGTGATGCTAACTAATTTCTTCAATATCCAAGTAGTGAGTGAATGCCCTGATCGATGTTGTGTTGGGCTGGGCTTGACTGGGGTAATTAGTGGGTGTGGTCTGCGATTATTGTCTATTTTAGTGGAGTCATGTTTTGGGGCGGCTCCGTCTTCGTCTTGTGGCTTGAGGAACATGTTCACTCCATTACTAGGTATCTTACACAACGGTCGCCAGTCATGAATAATGGCTTATGCTAACAAATGTCTCTGATGATTCAAGTAACTCTAGGTGCCTGACCTAATTAGTGAGACCAAACCAAAGATTGCCCCGTGCGAGATACGGTATATTAGTGGCTGAGTGCCAAGTTGATGATTCTTACACTACAGAGTACAATGCAGTCGGTTGGTTCAGCCAAGGATTGAAGTGTTGCGATCAAGATTAAATTACATATGAAAAAATCTCTCTTCCATCCCTGTTAGATTTTGAGGCCCCTTGTCACGAACACCTCGGATCCGCCTCCAGGCCTCAAAGTCAGTCAAAGCTTCTTTTCAGGGTCAAGATGCCTTGTTCAGACGGTGTCTTTATATCGTGGACCCCACAATCTCATCTCTCTCACATCACATCCATCACTCGTCTTCACATCTCATCACCCCATTCACACGACGCGAATCCTCCGCCACTTGGTCATTAAGAACCAACAAGTCCGTGCCTTGCTTATGGAACACTTTTCAGGCATGTTCTGCACCCCCCTCCCGTGTCAAGTTGGGCATACACGCCTGGGATAATCTTCAGCGATTGATAATAAGCCGTTTATGTCAGGGGTTGTGAGCTGTGGGCATGGGTGCTCCCGCTCGCTTGAAAGGTGCGCTGCACGTCATCATAAGCTGAGACTCGAGTCTCGAACTTGTGCTTCAGCAGAGAAGCGTGTAAATTGCTGTCTTGGCGTGGTTGATCATCCTTGGATTTGCACCAGGGGCCGGTGCGACATGGAGTGGAATAAATCCTCCATGCGCAAATTTTCTCTCTTGTTTTTTTTTTTTTTTTGTCATCCAGTCAAAGCAAAATCGTCAGATGTTGGTGATTACTGTTGAAACTCAAGGGTATCCCCCTGTCATGTTACTTTTGACACGAACTGTTAATCTCGTTCACCCGCCTGTAGCGCCAGGACCGTTGATCTCTGACGATGCATGTAGTACGCATCTTATGCAAGTGGTGAGAGTTCACATGCCACTCGATGCATTGACGCAGGTGCGTGGTACAGTTCAATGCTGTGATTATCCCTGCATATCCTCGAACTTTTATTTCATCATAAATTCTAGTATTATGTCCAGCATTATACGCCATATCTTCATTTCTTGCCAGTGTTGAGAGGGCTGTTGCGATCGAAGACATCAGTGGTGATGAGATCCGGGTACGACACGCCGCCCTGCTTGAGTGCGCTGTCCATGACCTCCATGATGACTATACTCTCAGACCATGGCATTGAAGCACTCTCCTTTTTGCCATCTCGTAGGCATCGTGCACACTCATCCGCCTCCCAGAACATACCATGACCCCAGTTGTTGCGCTTAGGATCCGTAGGAATTGGGCACTTCACTACCTCCCCCTTGCCATTGGCGTCCGACTTGATCACCTTGTACTCGGTCGGCCGGAACGCAGGACCAGTAACCTGAATTTCTCCCTTAGAGCCCTGGATGCGGATCGCGGGACCGCCAGTGTAGAGACCATCGACGTCGGTGGCGATGCGCAGTGAAGTAGTCGCAATACCGACAGAGTTGTGCTTGGGGAACTGACAGATGATACTCGTGGACTCGTCGGCACCGGTGCGATACTTGTTGATGGAAGCTACAACATTAGGAGCCTCCTTTTCGGTCTCGGGCTGAACATGATAGAGAGACTGGAAGACCCAAGTCAAGGAGTAAATGCCGAGATCGAGCAAGGCACCACCTGCAAGATCGGGATTGACCATGCGGTTGGAATCGGGGAAGTCGAGATCCTGGCTATCGGTGTTCTTGTTGAATGAGAGGTCGGCTACATGAGGGAGTTAGCTTTATCGTATAACTTCGACAGGCCTTCTTCGTACCAAATGTTCGATAAACAGTACCAATGGCACCAGACTGGATCAGCTCTCGAATTTTGATACTAAGAGGGAAGTATCGTGTCCAGACAGCCTCCATAAAGAATAGGTTCTTGGACTTGGCAACCTCATACAGCTTCTTGGTCTGCGCCGCAGTAACAGTGAGTGCCTTTTCACAGAGAACATTCTTGCCAGCCTCGAGGGCCAGCATAGCATTCTGGAAGTGGTGACTGTGAGGCGTAGCAATATAGATGATGTCAACATTTGGGTCGGCGACTAGCTCAGCGTAGGAACCATAAACAGCAGCGGATGAGGGGCCATCAATCTTCTTGATAAAGTCGCGCGCACGGTCGACGGAGCTGGATGAGGCAACGGCGACAATCTCATGCTGTACGTCGTTGACATCGCGAGCGGCAGGGTCTGTAAGAATGTCCTTAGTGAAGCCTATAATGGGAGGTTAGTGCCTTGTTCATTGTGTTACGAAGCTGAACTCACACTCAGCGATGCCACCGGTAGCCAAGATGCCCCATTTAGCAGTGTAAGGAGCCATAACTACAACTGAAAAGTTATGAAGCTTATATGTCACGCAAAGCCAGAGACCAATGTTGGAAGGGGGAAGTTAATAAGCATTCTCAATGTGAACAACTCAAGTGACGTTACATATCTTAATGAGCTCCGACCCCTCAGAGCTATGGCGGGGCAATTGCAAGATCCAACCCAATAATGTCGACAGCTTGAGGTGGAGGACAAAGCGGTTTGTGGAGAGATGCGGAATTGCTTTACTTGGCATGTCCGGAAATACGGCCCGTTGTCCTAGACTAAACAGCTTTTAGGAACAACTCTAAGCTGTTATCTTGTAAGATCGCCGATCAATAGAACACTATTTATTTCAACGGCGTGACTCATTGATCGTGAATACCTCTATCTTGATGCATTGTTTGTGATTCCTCAACCCGCGTTGACGTGGGGGTTGAAGACGTGAATATCGACGTCATGAACCAACTTGAATAGCCTAGTTATATCCGGCTAATTTCCATATCAATATATTCAATGTTCGTCGAACATGAATCTACACTTTCTCCAACTGTGTCTAAATGGCTCGGCGTTGTCTCACACTCAGCTTGAATTTAATTGGTTTATGAAGGCACCCGCTTAATTAAATGGTCACACCCTGGATCTCTCAGCCAGAGACTGCGTGTCTCTACCTACGCGGGGAACCCTCAATGTTTACAGTCACTGATTGGCTGCCTAGCAATGTGTTGGTCGTTGAAATTGACGCCATGTGCAGGTGGTTTGAGGCTCAACATGGTGTAATTAACCAACATCACCAACTATAAGCTATCTCCAAACTCCACCACTTGTCATCTCAATACCTCTCTAGCACTGTCTCTCCCAATCACTGTGTTCTGCCAACACCAGCAAACCAATTGAGTACATATATAGACTCAACTTCATCCTATCCCCTCTTTGCAGTGGTATTGTTAAAATGGCAGCCAAGTTAGCCAAAGACCTCACCCTCAAGGGCTCATCCACTGCCATGCCAAAACTGGTCTATGGCACGGCGTGGAAAAAGGACAGATCAGCAGATCTCGTTTATTCCGCACTCAAAAACGGCTTTCGTGGAATCGATACAGCAGGCCAGCCCAAGCATTACAATGAGAAGGGCGTCGGGGAGGGTGTTCAGAGAGCTATCAAGGATGGCCTCATTAAACGTGGAGGACTTTTTGTAGGTTCTGTCACCATATACATCAACAAACTAAGCACTGACCTGTCCTCAGCTTCAAACAAAGTTCTCGCCTCCAGGAAACCAAGATGAAAATGCACCTTATGATTTTGACGCACCGCTTGTGGACAAGGTTCATCAATCTATCCAGTCATCATTGGCTTACTTCACCATTGAAGGCGAGGAACCTTACTTTGACAGCGTGCTTTTGCATAGCCCTCTGCGAACTATCGAGGAAACCATCACGGCATGGAAGACTCTGGAGACCTATGTACCGCACAAGATTCGCAACCTAGGCATCTCTAACACGACACTCCCGATCCTTAAAGCACTCAACGATGCTGTCACTGTCAAACCCAGCGTCGTTCAAAACCGCTTCTACCCTGATACAAGCTTCGAGGTGGAGCTCAGAGCTTACTGCCGAGAGCAAGGAATTGCTTTCCAGTCATTCTGGACATTCAGCGCCAATCCTAGACTTGCTGCTACCAAGCCAGTTAATACGATCGCAGAGAAGGCTGGTGTTGCCCAGGTAGCTGCTTACTATTCCCTGGTCTTGGGTCTCGAAGGTGTAACGGTCCTGGATGGAACAACGACCGAGAGTCACATGAAGGATGATCTTGAGTGCATTGAGAAAGTTGCTACTTGGGCGGAGACGGACGGGACAGCTGAATGGAATTCTGCTTTGAGAGAGTTTAAGCAGAGTATAGGAGAAGTTTGAAAACATATCTGAGTCTTTAGTGGTGCTCAGGCAGTTGGCACAGTTGGCTTTAGGGACGTAGAGGCAGACTCGCAGTTTCTGCCAGTGATAGAAACTGGGAGCCATCAACTTTACATTTTGTACCAAACGCGACCCGATTCATTCACATAAATACTGGCCTTTCCTACCAAGTCACTCCCGTCATATCAATAACACAACCATTTTTCTCCCCCTCTCACACTTCCCCAAAATCACGAGAGCTTTCGCGTTCATCACATCTCGCCTTTCGCTGTCTCTTATGATCCCATTAGCATTTTTCGGTCGCAGTGAACCTTTGATCTATCGAGGAAAACATCGATTCGTGTTTCCCATCACAACATAACATCATGAGTATTCGTCGAGATGCCGTCCAACGAGACTTCGGTCTCCGACCTGGTGAGTCTGATGCTGCACCTTGCGATTCCTTTCCTTAACTCTTACTTTCAGGTTCACGGGCTGTGCCTAGACCTCAGTTGTCCATCGAACCAGCAGAAGATGTTGCGACATCGCCCGCCGAGATGAATTCTCCTCCCCACTCGTCTGATGATGCCCGAGAGCCGTATGTGCAAGAAAGTACCCCCCTCACCCCTGTTAAGGACACTTGCGATGACGATCGTTCATCAACTATTTCTCCAACAATCAGTACCAAGGGCCTCCTCCCAATCCCGAAAAATCGCTCTCCAGAAAGACGTGGTAGCGACGGTTCGCAGAGTGGCAAGGAAAGCCCTGAAAGCCCGGAAACTCCTTCTCTCCCCGCCCATTTCCCCCCTTACCCTAGGGAGCGACCTACACGCCAAGGGATCGCCCTCTGGCATGAAGGATGTATGGCTGTTCAACGTGGGGATGGGACCATTGATGGCTTCGACGTCATGGACTGGCTGATGACTAGAAAAGGGGGAGTTCTCAACCCTTGGCCTAGGCTTGACGAAGGGCGGATGGCCGTCGAGAGTATGGGAAGGGAGACTATTGACCTCGATGCGATCCGCCGCCAACACGAGGAAGAAGCAGAAATTGCCAGGCTCAAAGAGGAGCGTCGACAGAGAAATAAACGACGATATCGACCTCGTGGTCAGATCGAGAAAGAAAAGGCCGAGCGACGAGCTGCCCAACAGGCCCAACAGGCCCAAGATTTAGCTAAGAAGACATCCAGTACCGTTGCTTCGGAGCAGGGGCAGGATACGGCCTATACCGACGAGCCCCCTGCAAAAAAGGCCAGAGTTGATACCGAATCCTAGAGATGGCCGCGAAGGGACGAAGGCAACTACCTAGGCATATCGGTTTGCATTTACACTCACTCAAGGCGATTCTCGCCCCTGGGGCTTTTAGACATTGATAGTGACCAGGGGATTTATTGTATTTTAAATCGGTGGCTTTCGTGCCTGCTTTGGAATTCTTTAGAAGCAATATGAGTGTTTTGTCAATTATGTCTTTGTGATGGCGGATGATCAAAATGTTGCCCGCACTGTAATATACTTTATTTGACATACTTTTGTGTTCTATTCTTTTGTTTCCTATTTGTCAGACTTTCCAATATCCTTTGCAAATGTGTTTGCCACAATGAAGGGGAAACACGCTGTTGCCTCCATGTATACCTTGTGAATGGTCAGTATCTGGCATGAGTACAAGAGACGTATCGACTTACTTTCACATTATCAGCTCCAATCTTGATTTTTCCCCACGATACAGCCTCATCTGGTCTAGCACCCGCATCACTACCGTCGAATTCCTGTGCTGTGTTGATGTAAACCGCCGACTCGGCACCGTTGCGCATCAAGCATGCATTGGCAATGTGGTGCTTGATGATACCACCACCCAGGATGATCATACCGGCTCGCTTGGCTCGGACAGCAATGGTGTTGATGCGTCGAATATCCTCGACCAGATCGATCTTCAGTTGCAGGGGGGACGACTTGAAAGTATGGAAATAGAGCATGTCGCCGAGGCTTCCGTCAGTGATGGCGGGGCAGAACACAGGAATATTGTTTTTGTATGCCCAGTAATAGACGGATCGCTTATCATTGATCTCCTTACCTAGACGGTGAATCACCTTGGATGGCGTCCAGTTGATCTCCTCCTCGGCGCCTTTGCTAGCCTCCTGCTCCTCAAGCATCTTGTCGAGAATAGGGACGACCCAGTCTTCGAAGGCGCAGTAGTTCGCATTAGGAACAACGAGGTTTCCAATGCGGTTGAGACCCTTGCGTCGGAGTTCGGCTCCAGGGGTACTGAAGGAACCAACATATGTGTCACCGAGGCACTTGATGAAATCCTCTTCGATGCCACCAGCGGTGGTGACGATACATGACACATGGTTATGTTCGACAAGCCAACGGAGGACACCACGAAGGCCTGAAGAGATGAGGTTGGAAGTATAGCCCAAGAAAATTGTGGTCTTATCACCCGTCTCCGGGTCTTTCCACGCACGCTACAAGCTGTTAGCCAAGGTGGCCTTCCATATGAAAAACTCTAGTATAGAGTTTCTGGATCGAAACTCACCATGTCGTTAATAATCCTCACGGCCTCACACATAGAAGACGCTTGGAACCCCATGTGGCGCATGCCCTCGAAGAGATTCTCCGCAGTGATGGGGCCTTTGAACTTGTTGAAGTCCAACTCCTCGACTTTCTGAGCGTCAGCAGGCATCTCCTCGGACTTGACCAAGACGGCCTCTGTGGCCGCCGAAGGCGGAGCATCTGAGTTGGAAGTCATTGTCGTAAATTTCGCGCCCAAGATGTTGATGTAAGTGGTGAGCCGTAAGTTTCAAGTCGTAAGTTTGTAGGTAAAATATTGGACGGACAACACAGAATCCAACGGCAAATTGAAAACTCAGCAAATGTTCAACACAACGCCAGGATGTGTACAAAAGTCAATTTTGAAATGAGTTTGCCCAATGACGGTACATCATCAGATTTACTTTTCTCATTAAAGATACTACTTATTCTATTGATTCGTCAACAACTGTGTGACTCTTATCTTCATGATTTCTTCTGTGAGAAAATCCCGGCTCCGGGCTCCACATTGAAAAAACGGCGGGGTCCATCGGGGCTTCAAAAAGTGGGCGTGCATGTATCCCTCCGACCCGACTGGCAGATCTATTTGGGGTCTAGCGTCTCACGGCAATTCTGGGTCAAGCCCCCTGGACATTCGCTGAGGAGCCGTCCCATCAACCACTAAGCGCTACGCGACAGTGTGTCCATTCCAATTTGCAGGATGGGATCGCTTTAGCTTAGGCCCCTAGGCTCCGAATGCACGCCTGAGGCTTGTCTTCGATCCCTCAAACCTTCAACCTGCATCCAACCATCCATCTATCGCAAAAGGTACTGTCGCCTTTGCATTTCGACCCTCATTTCATCGCGATTCACCTGCCTCGGACATAGTGCTCGCGTATAATATCGCTAATAAGTTCTACGTCTGTTTCGACTTCTTATTTGATACCCCATTCATTCGACGGTTCGATTAAGGGTGTTTTTTTGGTAACCGAGACGCGACGTCAAACGATACGGGTACGACACGGCGACACAAGACCTGCGAAAGTTTAGTAGATCTCGACGAGTCAATTTCTTCAGCGTTAAACTTACGGAGATTCACGTGGCGCACGGTATTTGGTGTCATAATTTTGACTTCTGGATACTTGGGTGCATGGGCTGCATATAAATTACCACTTCCTTGGGGCTTCCTGCAGCCTTTGAGAAATGTACGAACAATCGTCCCATCCCATTATCTTCAATTCTAGTCATGCGGTGGAGGGGAGATTCTAAATATCACCGCACGAGTCGGTCCCTACGCCGTTCGCCCTCTGCGGGATCGTCTTCATGCTGACTTTATCCATATAGGGCCTCAAGATACTCACGCTATGAACGGTCCAGATCACCCCGTGACCGCTCGCCTGACCGATTTGATCGAACTCCGCAGTACAACGACGGAGACAGACGCCGACCGTCTGACGCCCGAGCAGGTAATGGCGGTTTTCAGCCAGGACGTGACTTTGGCGACCCGTTGCGGCGCGAACCACCTCGTGGACCAAAAGCGTTGATCGATGCGCCTAGTGGCCCTCGAGGCGGAGGATTCGGAGGAGAGTTTCGTGGTGGTCGTGGGCGAGGGCGCGGCCGCGGATGGTCTTCAAGAGATGACAGCCGAGATCGAGGTCGAGATAGAGACATCGATTTCCGTGACCGGTACCATGATGATCGAAGCCGTGAACGCGACCGGGATCGCGAGCGCGATAGAGAGTGGCGCGAGCCAAGAGATTTCAGGTCACGACGCTCACCTATTGGCCGTGCAAGGTCACCAACAAGAGATTTCCGAGACCGTGATGGTCCTTTGGGAGTAGATGCAGATAGATCTCGACGCGGTTCAAGAGATGGAGGACCCCCCTCGGCAGGATCTTCTTCTTCCGATCCCCAGTTCGGCATGGCACCTTACCCTCGCGGTGGGGGTTTTCACCGAGGACGCGGTCGTGGGAGGGGTGACTGGTCTTCGGAGCGAGGTCGTGGGAGAGGGCCTTATATGGATGATAGAGGTGATCGCTACCCACGCAGTCGGTCTCAGGAAGGTCGCTGGGGAAGGGATCGTGACGAAAGGGACCGGATGGACCGGATGGATCGTTATGCTGACCCAGATACCCGACGTGACATTCGAGACGACCGCGACCCCCGCGAACGTGAACTGTTCCGAAACAAATTGGAAGCTCGTGCCAATGCCGGCCACGATTCAGGACTTTCCAGCAAAGAAGTATCGCCACCTCCTGTCGCGCCTTCCGCATCTGCTTTTGGACCCGTCCCTAATCGAGGACTGAGTGTTGGAGAGGGTTATGTTTCTGCCAGCGCTGCAACAAAGATTCCACCGACAGCCCCCCGCGCTTTCCATGATCGCCCCCCGTCAGCGGGACACGACCCAACAATGCCCTCAATCGGTCTCGGTAAAGGCATGATGCATGATGGCCCCTCAATTCCAGTTGGCCCCCGAGCCCAGCAGCCTCCGCCACC